CGTGGGGGTCGCAGGGCGGGCCACAGTGGCTCTGACAGGCGTCACCAAGCCCAGGGCTCTGGGGGACACCCTCCTCGGCCCCCTGGGACAGGTTGACATCCAGCTCTGTCAGCTCAGGGCCGTCTGGCTCAGGAGCCTCCTCCTCGTTCTCGCTCCCCGTCCCGTCATCTGCCGGGGCAGAGAGAGACAACGCCGACGGGAGTGATTCCCAGCGCCAAGGGGAAAAAGGGGGAGCCTGAAGAATTCGGGCAGACAGCTGCCAAAGGCCGATCCCAGAACAGAGGGCAAGAAAGCTGTTCCCGACCCCAGCCCGGCGGCTCCACGCAGAGCCCCGGATACCTGCTAGCTTGGGACGCTCCCTGAGATGGAGGAGCGGGGGCTGCCACGGGGCTGTTGCTAAAACCTCCAGCCCGTTCAGGGTGGGGTCCCAGCTCACCTGCAGGGGCCACCCTGAGGATCTCCCATTCCTTGGAGTCGTTCGGGTCCGGCACCCCCAGCTCTTCCTCCAGCTCCAGCCGGGAGATGACGTTGGGCTTGGGAATCGGGAAGTCTGCTCCAGAAAAAGGGGGAAAGAAGACACCAGGGTTGTTACAGGTCTGTTATGTGGGGTTTATTAAATACTCTATATATATATTTATATATACACATAAACACTTTTTAAAGGAAATATGGCATTTTGCGTTCAGGTGAGCAGCTGGGAGAGAAAGGCAATAAAAGGCATTTCCAGGCAACAGACCGTGGCTACTCGGCAGGTAACCTCGCTTCTGGCATCTCCTGTCTTCCGAGGAGGGATGTGCCATCCCATCACCGCATTTCTCTGCACCCAATGCCTTAAAAAAACCAAACTCCCACAAAAATGGCACTTTCTTTTCCCCCTGTGCCCACCACCTAAAAAGCATGCGCCATGTTGTGCCAAGAGGGCTTGCGACGCCGAAGGCAGGTGCCCAACCCCGTGGTGCTGGCTGCGCCGACACACGGCAGGGACAGCTTTTGTTCTTGCCGCACCCGCAGGATGCGTCTTTTATTGGCAGCGGATTATTTTTTGGCGGCGAAGCCCGGCGTGTGGCGGGGCAGGCGGCGGCACGCTGCGGGGAGCGGGAGTGGGCGAGGACGCCAGCCTTACCCAGCAGGATCAGGGACTCGTAGCTCTCCTGCATGATGCTGACGCCGCTTCGAAGCCCGGCAGCACCTGCAAGAGAGGGAAAGGGGGTTCAGGGGCACCCCCCGGCACAGGCACAGAGCAGCCGCGTCCCCAGCTTTTGCCGCAGTCCCCACTAACCGACCTGGGTGGCTTCTTAGGCGGACACGGGGGGCCGCTAGCAGGGCCCCCCCCGCCCTCGGCTGGGGATGCGGGT